GTATGTGTGTGTTGTATTTATTTATTTATTTTTATTTAAAAAAGGCCCTAAGCAAAACTTTGTCGGGGGGTGGGGGTTCATAAAGTTATACAGTATTCAGTGAATAATTCTCTCATTTTCTTTTGTTGTTTGATTAACAGATGATGACAGACAGCAGCAGGTTTATACTGAAAGGATGCTGTCACGGAATGCACAGATACTGACAAGCATTCGATTACTTTTCAAAATGTTTATTTTACTTTTACTTTGCCCATAGGGAGGATCGGCTCTGCTTGCACCTGTCTGGTTTTATGTGTTATAGCTCTATGAGGAATATCTTCTAATCAACGTATTGTTGCATTTGGGCTCTTTTTAATTGGGAGAGTTTTCTGAAAATAATACTGTGCCATTTTTCAAGTCCTATGCATGTTTCATAAAGTTACAAGCTAATAGGAAAAACAATTAAATACATTAATTGAGTTTCGAAGCTTTAAATGGTACCTATTTTGTATTATTCCATTCAGTGGTTGCTTAGTAATTTGATTATGATTTTTTTTTTTCGTGGGGCGGGACACCTCGGTTTAAAGGGTTAAAAAAGAAAGTAAATGTAACACCTGTTTTATTTATTTGGTAAGAAAATGAGTTCTGGGGGCCCTGATTATGAAGACACTAATTGTGGTTACTCTTCCCTTCTGGTCTGATTTCATGGCAAGGAACATCCCATACTTTTCCCCTTCAAGTCTTCTCTGCAAAAGAAATATAAATAATTTAAGAGAATGCTTTGACATGAACCATGAGTGTATCGTCTGTCCCACACAAGAAACTCGCAAGTACTGTATGTGCGTCTGACATCTGATTTTCCTTTCTTCTGATGCACAAGGAAAGGAAAAAGTCTAAATCTACATTTGCCCTAATTAGTGCGTTCCATCTGTGAAGACATACCAAGAAAGCGAAATGTCCTTCGGACCAGAGGGTTGAGATAACAACAGTCGCCCATCACAATGATCTTCTCTCGGTTGTCCAGATCCTCTGAGACATACTGCAGCAAGAAGAGCACGGATTCTGTCACTGTAATCTGCAGACAAAAGAAATCAAATAAGAGGCATTCAATGCTACATTTCGTTTGTAGACACTTTCTGTTTTTCTCTCTTTTTTTTGTTTTTTCCTTGATCTTTACTAGAACTAAGATCTAAATGAAGCTCAAATCTAATTCTCTAGGCTTGAAGACAAAATCAGGCTGTATTTCGGCTGTTTGTAACACTGGAACACGCATAAAGACCAATTCATGAACACAATGGATATGATTAGAGGTTGATTTTGTGAAGCCAGTTCCCAGCAAGATCTTGAACCTGATTTTGCCAAACTGGCAGGGTGCACCAGGGTCAAAGGAAGCATGAAAAAAACCACTCGCAATTAGTGCTGGATGGTTTTTAAAGAATAAAACTGTAGAAAGCTATGGGTGTTTTATGATAACTTGCGATAAACTGATTCAGTCTGATTTATGCAATCCAGGGCCTTTCAAATGGCTTGCATCAATAACAAATGCATTGAATCCTGTATAGGGTCAACTTTATGGTGAACAAGACGCTGTGGCATAACCTAAAGAAGGCTGTACTATCAACCCAGACATATTGATAAAGTGAAACATTTGTGGGGAGGGATGGTCCAAAATTGTTCAAAAGTCTTTTAAGCAGCTACAGAAAACATGTAGTGAAGATTTTGCTGCTAAAGGAGGATCCACAAGTTACTAAATTCAGGGTTTGACGTACTTTCTCCATTCTGCTGTGAATGTATTCAAGAAAATACAAGTTATTAAAGGTTTTACTTACTTTCCTATCGTAAAAATGTACAAGTATATTTGCGTGTTATTAGTTTAGTACGGTGGCCGTGAAGTGCAAAGCAAATCACAATTCTGAAAACAAAATAACAAATTACAAATGCAAATGCAAGTTTAAAAAACAAAATAACAATTCAGAAAGCACAACAACAATTCAGAAAACATTATAACAAGTCAGAAAACACAATGACAAATCCGAAAACAAATTAACAAGTCAAAAAATACAACGACAAATCAGACAAACCGGAAGAGGTAGGTATAGTTTGAGACAGCGCCACCGTTTGGGATTACTCACCGCTGACTGCACGAGACATCTGTCAATCAACATATACAGGGAAGAACCAGGATTTGTCGTTGTGTTTTCTGACTTGTTATTTTGTTTTCGAATTTGTCATTGTGTTTTCTGACTTGTTATAATGTTTTCTGAATTGTTGTTGTGCTTTCTGAATTGTTATTTTGTTTTTTAGACTTGCATTTGCATTTGTAATTTGTTATTTTGTTTGATTGATTTGCTTTGCACTTCACGGCCACCGTATGAATGAGAGCGAGCAGAGATTTGCGACCCCGCCAGCTGTGCGTCGCTCTATCAGTTATTACGGTAATGGTACTGATGAGTCAGGCTATATGATGCTGATGATACTGCTGCCATTTCATCAGCACATTTTCACAAACATCTCTTTATCCCTAATCATGAGACTGACAATATGAATTTACAAATAATTTATGTGCATTCCGAAAGTAAAAGGTCTTAATGCAAACGCCCCAGTCGATTATGATCATTCGGTGCATATTCAAAGCGGGACTGGTTGCACATTTATCCTCAAAAACATTCGGGTGTGCTTGGATGCCTTGCCTGGGAACGTCACGGTATTATACGCTTTCTGACTGAAAGACAGCGAAGAATATGGGGCTTGCCATCCTCAGACACTGAGAAGCATAACCAAGGTAATAATTACACGAAAGATACAATAATATGTGTTCAGAGAGCGATTTCTCTAAACCTCGACTCATAGGCCTGCAAGCATCTATGCTTTAGCTAGCTTTAGAAACTCGTATATAGAGAGATGCTAAGTTGTTATAAAATTTATTATCGCTTGAGATCGTGTTAAACAGTTTATTATTAATTATGAAACTATATTAATACTATTACATTTTAACATAAAAATTCAGGTCTGATACTTATAAACGCACTGAGATTCACATAGGCCTACTCAAAAAGGATTTTATTGACACATTTTGGTCAATTTGACCACAGTTATAACAATTTTTCAACATCATTCCAATGTATAAATGTTTAATAGTTTGGACTGCCAAACAAATCCAGGGTCTCGCATCATATATGGAATAAGGTAATTATACATAACATCTATTTGAAGGATAGTCGTCCATTTAAAGAGCGAGGCTCAGCTGATAGTCTATTCTAATGCTCATCTACATCTGATCCTTAAAAATACTTTCATACTAATAATGTCATAATAATGATGACTTTGAGCTGAATAAAACACAAAAATGAAAATTCAAGGATAAGTAAGTGTTGAGAAAATTTTCATTTTTAGGTGAACAATTCCTCTAACAAAGTACATTTTTAGGTTTACTCAGAAAATATTACTGTGAAAAATGAATTTTGACACTGTTATTCATTGACAGATCAAATAAGATATGGAAGCTATATGGCTGTACCAGTTCCGGCTGATTGTCATTGGCGACTCGACGGTGGGGAAGTCTTGTTTGATCAGACGCTTCACAGAAGGACGTTTTGCACAGGTGTCTGATCCTACTGTTGGCGTAGACTTCTTCTCCCGTCTGGTAGAGATTGAACCAGGCAAACGCATCAAGCTTCAGATCTGGGACACGGCAGGCCAAGAGAGATTCAGGTACATCTGGTGGTATTTGATGACATTTACATGTAGCTATCACAGCTAGCCTACATGTATTCTCTAATTGTTAATTCAAAATAGGAGATTTGTGGCTTTTTGTCTATGTTTGTTAGCTTTGAGGCTATCTAAATGCTAATGTACACCTAAACATTGGCAAAATTAATTTTTAGCAGATAAATGCATTTCAAATGCACAGTCTTTCTCTTCCAGGAAAACAAGCCAAAATTTTTTATTCCTCATCCTGCACTAGATTTTTTGACCAGTCAAATGCTTTCTAAAATGTGAATGTCCCATAAACGCTATAGGCACACATTAACACAGCTGCTTAATGACTTCATTGTGCTTAAGGAGGAAGTTAATTTTGTGATTTTATTTATTTTTTCATTTTTTTATTTAAAATGAAAAATGTTGGAATGGCCTTACATGCTAGTTTTTTAATATGTAGGTTTCATGGATTTGATTTCAACATTTCCTTATAAGAGGACAGTACATGCAATCTCAGACATTAAACACAAATAAAACATTTTAATACACTGACAGAAGAAATATTACTGTGCACTTATTACACTGGTGTAGAAACAGTTTCCACTCAGAAATTGCGAGTGAATTTCACAAATAATTGCAAAGAAATGGCAAGTCAAACATTGAATTAATCATATATAATAATGAAATTTGGAAGTAGAATAACTTAAATAGTAGCATCTTGTAAAATGTACTCCAATAATCTTTGTTTTTCTCAAAAATTTCCTCACAAAGTAATATTGTTCCCAATCTGGATATTTTTATGCTTCAAACTTTTATGTCTTTCCTTATCTCATATTCAAGTGTTCCATTTGTATATATACAGATTCAGTAGTTTTTGTCTTCATTATGATATCAGGACAGATATTTCTGACTTTTAGATATATATATATATTTTTTATTTTTTTATTTTAATAAATTAAAAACATTCCAATGATAGAAGAAGTGTGTCATTGTACATATGGATCGCATTAAATAAATTAAAAGATAGGACAAAAAAAGAGCATCATATTAGTCTCTACATCTACATCAGATTTCATAAACTATTTCAAACTGGTCACTAATTTCCTGGATTTCAGGCTGTAACCATTTTCTGGTTATAGCTTCCTTATAGGCTATTATCATCAGTTCCCTTCAAGTATTTACATGCTAGTTTAATGTAATTTAATACAAATTAATTCATCCTTTTGAATATAAAATACTGCTCATCCACATGCAGCCACTAATTTATATGATGTAATATGCAACGTGTTCCACCACCTGTCTGATATCGTCTGCTCTTCTCCTCTGTATGTGATCTAGATCTATCACAAGGGCTTATTATCGTAATTCAGTGGGTGGCCTTTTGCTTTTCGACATCACCAACCTCCGCTCCTTCCAGAATGTCCACGAGTGGCTGGAGGAAGCGCGCAGTCACGTGCAGCCGCACAGCATTGTCGTCATACTGGTCGGCCACAAGTGTGACCCGGAGCAGCAGCGGCAGGTGAGCCAGCAGGAGGCCGAGAAACTGGCAGCCGCTTACGGCATGCGCTACGTGGAGACCTCGGCCCGCGACGCCATAAATGTAGAGAGGGCCTTCACGGAGCTGACGCGCGATATCTACGATCTAGTCAAAAGTGGTGACATCACCATCCAGGAGGGCTGGGAGGGTGTTAAGAGCGGTTTTGTGCCCAACGTGGTGCATTCATCCGAGGAGGTGACCAAGAGCGACCGCCGCTGCCTCTGTTGATCAAGTGACTTCTGTATCATGCTCCTTCACTGCAAAACCAGTGCTGTCGTTCTCCCTTAGCTTGACAACCCACAAATACTCTAGTCCCCTCCATCAATGTTTCCTGCTTTCAAATAAAGTTCCTATTGTCTTTAAAGCCAATTGAAATAATGACCTAAATATCAGCAAATGTGAATTTCCTGGAGCTTTGGCAAGTCTTCTCGGTCAATCTGGCAGGATGGAACCAAGAGAACTGAGTTGTGGGAACCGTTTAAGTAAAAAAAATGCAGAAACACTGATCCTTTGGAGCAAAGACTGATCCGAAGTTCACACCAGAATTCACCCAGAAATGATGGATCATTTGAGAGCACGTACAGGAAGACCACACCAATCCAAACATCCCATTGGATTAAATAGCCCCTAATGTGTTCACTAAAGATACTCATTAATAATCCTTTTCTGTAATTCCTTTTTGAATGACATTCCTAGTTTTATTCAGAAAGGATGCATTAAATTGATCAAAGGTGACAGTAAAGACATCAATAATATTACAGAAGTTCAAATATATGCGGTTCTTTCAACTTTCTATTCATCAAAGAAAAGGGAAAAACAATTATATTAAGCAGCACAACTGTTTGTACCATTGATAATTTTAAGAAATGTTTCTTGGGCACCAAATCAGCTGATGTCTGTAGCACCATGAGACACTGAAGAATGGAGTAATGACTACTTTGCTACTACAGGAATGAATTACAGTTTGAAATATATTATAATAGAACAAATTCAAACTGTAATAATATTTCACAATATTGCCATTTTTACTGTATTTTTGATCAAATTAATGCAGCCTTGGTGAAAATAATAGACTCCGTTCAAAACATAAAAAAAATCTTACCAACCCCAATGTTTTGAATGGTAGTCTATGTTGATTATTTATATGCTGAGACCTCTGATTTCAAAAATTCAACAGTAGGGGGAGAAATTCTGTTCCTTATGGTCAAACCTCATCGCCTGATGAGGAGAAAATGATTAATTTCGCCTGCAGAGGTCATACCAATAATGGGGAATATGAGAAGTCTCTTTTTCCTTCAAGGTTTCACACCGATTGTTAAATGATCCAATACACACTAAATAAAATGCATTTTCAACCACTACATTCAAATCTCTTGAGATCATCTGTAAACATTCCTGAAAACGTTCAGTTATGGGGAGCCACATTTGAGTTTCCCGCCTTTTTCCTCATTCAAAATGGGTCATGTTGTCACTAGACACTTTTTCCAGAGACTTTACCAATACAGCGATTTGTAAAGCACTGTTAAATCGTGTCCGGACATGAACTCAACAGCCAAGCTGCCAAGAACAAGTTTAAATGGAAACAAAAAAAAACAAAAAAAATAATAATAATAATAACAATCTGGTCAAAAATAGTGACACTTTTTCTCAATTATCTACACCTTCAGATATGAAACAAAGGCCGTTTAAAACCTGTTTCTTTAGGTCTTCAGTCTTCAGGCAAGTTTAAGTTTGACCCTTGACCTGTGAGTTGGTTATTACAGTAAGTTAGCACAGTAACCATAGTTTCTGCTCAAATATTACAGTTAATACTGTTAAAAATTAAAGATTATTATGGGGTATTTCCTTCAAACAATATAGGAAGCTTTCAGAATCTTTCAAGTCAGCGGTGGTTACTATCACATTACCAGTTGGTACAGATTACTGTAGATACACCACCGTTAAGAAGTTTGGAGTAGTTACAATTTTTGCTTTTGATAGAAGTCTCTTATGCTCATCAAGGCTACATTTATTTGTAAAAAATAAAAAATAAAAATTAAATTATAACTCTAAATAACCGTTTTCTATTTTAATATATTTTAAAATGCAGCCTTTTAATATTTTAATACATTGTAAGTTTAATATAATTTTATTATATTAAAATTAATTTAATTATTTTCATTATTTTTTCAAGATTCTTTGATGGTAATTATTTGAAATAGAAATCTTTTCTAATATTATACATGTCTTTATGGTCATTTTTCAATTTAAGGCATACTTCCAGAATAAGAGTATTAAATTCTTTAAAAAAACTAAAAACTTTTGAACGGTAGTGTAAGTAGTTTTAGCAGAAACAATAGTTACTAAGGCAACCTTCCATAAATGTCATCTAGAAACACTGTTATACAGTATACTGAAGTAAAATCATCAAGTTTAAGGAAGTTGGATGGGTAAACTATACATGTCCATATAAAACAGTTTTTCCCAAAAATAATTTAATCTTTTGTAAAGCGGAACAGATTCTGGCGCAACCTTGTATAATCCATTCAAAACACTCTCTCTCACACACACACACACACACTGTAAAATACATCAAAATCATTTTATACCACATTGGCCAATAACATTATCCCAACATACAGCAGACAGCAGTGCTAATAGCACACTGTCATGCTTAGGAAATGGAAACCGTTTTTCTATCCATTCACTCTCAAAGACGTGGGATTTTAGCAGTGCTAAACATGTCTAAAAGCTTTTCAGTCAGTTTTTTTTTTTTAGTTTCAGTTCTTCAATTATTCTGTCTAACAGTAACCAATGACCACAAATACTGTCTAACGGTATTGCCATTTTCAAATTCTGAACACTAGGGGGCCCTGTTGTACTTCACAACCTCGTGCTGGGAAACCAGGAGGTGGAAGGAGACCATTTTGGACCCAAAGGCTTTAGCGCACAAACAATGTGCTTGGAACTCGATCCTGAAAACAAAATACCCTGTACACAGTCAGCTCACTGTCTGCCAGACAATATGGCCATTACAGCAGCAGCCGCAGGACTTTCAAACCAGCATTTACAGTACTGGAGGGCCAAGGCTGCATGACAACCTCTAACGGAAAACTCTTGGGGCTCTTTTAAGAAGAACCTGATCATTTCGAGAGGATGAGAAATCCTTTTGCAATTGAGATGTTTGGGGCAGTGTCTACAATAAATGAGCCATGACTTTTACAATAAATCTGCAGACTTCAACGAAAACACATAGGGCAGCATGCCCATCTTTCTCTCCCTATCAAGGAGAAATGCCCTCCACTTCACTCTCCTCACCGCCTATATATATGGGGCTTTTGTTCTGAAGGGCTGGCTCGTATTTTCGGAGGGAGCTGTTCATGCCCTCGGTGCTGTTCCGGATGCCGTAGCCAAAGTAGATTGCAAAACCTGGGAACGGACATGAGAAAAGAAGTGGGTGGTTTGGAAGGAAGGAAACAAATAGGATGCTATCGCAGGCAGGAGCTAAATGAACAGATGTACTCACCGACACCCATCCACACGGTGAAGCGGCACCAGGTGGCCACGTCCAGCTGCATCATGAGATAGATGTTGACAAAGATACTGAACAGGGGCAGCCAGGGCAACAGAGGCACCTGCACACAGGAAGATTAAGAAACTGTATGACCTTTCAAATATGAGCAAATCTGAAAATACTAGTCATCGTAGACTTGCTGATTTTGTAAATGGTTACAGAGGAAAAACTGAGCATCATACACTCAACCACTTCATAGGCCGTTCTGAACAGAACAAACTCATGCAGAAATATGTGCCTTGTTGCTAGGAGACGCATGACAAATGAAAACTATGCGTGCTAAAATCAACTCAAAATATCAAAAATGTTTGATATCATCCAAGTGGAAGGAATCATAGTCTGGAGACCATCTGAAATCCATTTTTTCCATTTTAGTATTTCTGGATTCCATTTTAATGGTTAAATTACATTTTGGTATTAAAAATGCATGTCTAATTAATTAATGGAAACGTTTAAGAAAAATGTCATTTTTAGGGCACTATAAAAATCTTTTTTTGTTTTTTCCTCCAAATTCTGTTATATTTTCCCCAAATTCCATGTTTTTTTTTTTTTTTTTACAGAAGTAGGGCCCTTAGAAATGTTTTATTTTTTTCCAGATCTCTCTGTTGTTTGTTTGAATTTTTCTAGATTTATGTTTTACAAATACAAATTTATTGTCTGTGGTAATCAAATAAAGGCATAAATCATTAACAAATTAATTAATCTTTTAAAATGTAATCAAATTCAAATTTTTAAATTCTCTTCATTTTTGGCAATCAGACATAGGTTTACTGTTAAATGAAAAAATTGAAGAAAAATTCGGTGACAATGCGTGTGATATTATAAATAAAATTTTCATAGGGCCACAGATTTATTGCTACACAGAAGAAAGGAATTAATTCAGCTTTGTAATGGCATGAGGGCAAGTAAATGCTGCCAGAACTTTCATTTATGGGTGATCTGTCCCTTTAAGTCTGTGAGTATTTATGTTGTAATAACCCATTTCCTTTTACATCACTTCAGTGCTTACGGTTAAGCCCGAGGCAAAGATTTATAGCATAATAAAGGGCAAAATCAATAATGAGGACATCTGGTACCTTGAAGGTGAGAGCTTCCTTGCTCTCAGGCTGCCTACAGATCACAATGACACACAGGATGCACAGCAGGACCAGAATGACACACGTCATCACCCACACGATCTCAAGATTCACCATGGCTTCCAGACGCAGAGCCAAAACCATGCACAGCACGGTGATCAGCACAGCTACAAAGACAAGAGAATATTGGAATTAGTCCATAATCAACAGATTCAGGATCAGCCAAATCTATTACTGAATCACAATTAAATAAATGCAAATATGAACGCACATACATACACTACCATTTAAATGTTTGGGTATTTTTTTATATTTTTGAAAGAAGGCTCTTGTAGAGTAAAACGGTAATACTGTGAAATATGATTACAATTTTAAATGACCGTTTTCTATTTTAATACATTTCAAAGGTGAATTTTTAGCAGAAATCATTTCAATATGATTAATTGGTGCTCAATAATATTATCAAAAACATATTTATTGCTTAATATTTTTGTGATACATTTTGTCCAGGATTCTTTGATAACTAGAAAGTTCAAAAGATTTTTAAATGACAATTAATGCATCCTTGCTGAACCAGTAATTTTATGATTTTTGTTTGTTTATAATATAGATAAAATCCCTAACTCACACTTTTATAGTTCACACAATTTTCACATTGTTATTTTTGGATCAGCTGTCCCTTTAATAGCTATCATTCATCAAGCAGTGACAATGAAGCACATCTTCACTCACAGATAACAGCGGTTGTGACGTAGACAATAGTTCCTGACATTTCAGTCGGCGAGTCCTGGGAAGGAACCAGGAGGAGTTTCGGGGAGAATTTCTCTTTGCGGGGATTGTCATCCAGGTCTGTGCCATATTCATCTCCACTATCTCCACATACAGCCACCTTCTCCCCACCGACCAGTTCCACCAGTTTCTCAGTCTGACTGGAAGAGCTCAGGGTGCCTGGCTGATATCTACAGACAAAAAGATCCGTTGAGTCAAACCAAGTACATAAATGACCCAACAGCAAACCCACAACATGCATTGTTGTTAATCAGTTTACATAACGCAAAAGTGAAAAGTTTAGGGTCAATAAGATATTTTTTAATACTTTTATTCAGCAAGAATGCATTAAATTGATCATTTTATTATTTCAAATAAATAATTTCTATTAAATGCTATTCTTTTCAATTTTTTAATCATCAAAGAATACCAG